AGCCCAATTTTCAAGTTTTCAAGTACCCCCCCCCCCTAAAATTTTTTTTGCGAGAGGCTTATAAGGTTAGCGCAAATGAATTAATGATACATGTTTTGATATGTATGTAGTAATATATGGCTGTAAAGTATAGTCCATTTTACAGGTTTTGATACCAGTATTGATGGAAATTGGCATGACTGCACTATAAAAACATTATAATTAGTGACAATTGCAATACAATTACAATACACACAATTTTAGCATTTCTGGTATTGGTAATGTCTTTATAAAATTGCTGTTCTAAGTTCTTTTGAAAATCAATACTAGACAATTTGCATGTTAGCAAAGCATCCGGAAAAGTGGTGACCATAAATACTGTGACGTCATAAGTTACCGTTTAAAAGGTCAAGTGCAGCTTAGAGATGAGCGTGATCAGCCGTTCCGCACGTTGTAACCAATAATTTATTGGCGTTGTAATGCCATTGTATGCAATAAAGTATTGGTTACAATGGATTTACAATTAATCCAAACGCTAATCCTAACTCAAACCCTAACCCTAATCCCTAACCCTAACCCCACCTCCTAACCCTAACCCCACCTCCTAACCCCTAACCCCACCTCCTAACCCCGCAACCTAACCGCAAACCCTAAACCCGGCCTGCTACCCCTCCGGGCAAACCACTGACTGGTGCATTTTGGAAACAACATGATGGGGACAAAATTACTGGTTCAAATGACCTATATATCTAACATCCAAATTTTCTTCTAAACCTATTTTTTAGTAAAATATCACAGTAGATACAGTGTATAAATAGCTGCCATAGTTCGCATACTGATGCTGCCAACTCGGTCAGTCGGTCTCGGACCTCTCTCTACCTATTTTACCTGCAACTGCTCCATTTCCTCCAAAAGAAACGACACGATCGACGCAATTGGAACCATCAAACTCGTCCAAAGTTAATTCAGAGCTCATTTTAAACCATTTGGGTGTTAAAATATGATTCTATTTGATATTATAAAACACAAAATAAAGTTCAAAGTTTCCAATATATATTTCTGTGTTCGCCAATGATCGTTGCCAGCCGTAAAACGTCGGATCTCGATCATGTTTCCGCTTTTTATATCAGAATTTTCCTAGCTTGTCATGAAATTTTCAAGATTTTGAAACAGCTGGTTAAGATTTTGAAAGATTTTGAAAGATTTTGAAGATTTAATATTTAATATTACCATGAGAGGCCAATCTGGGCCCAATAGATAGATAGTAATGGACGCAACAAAGACTAAAGTTGTTTAATTAAACTTTAATAAAGTTTCATTTAATTCATTGTGATTACCTTGAGAATATTCCAGCAACCATGCGAAGCTCAGTCGTACGTTGTGAATGCATGGCGATGAGGGCCTTTTTCCTCACACAGTTACGCGTATAAAGACCACGCTGTGCTGACTTTTATAAGATAAAATGTCGAGAGTATGAGAGGATATGAGAAACCTGCTTTCAAAGCAGGCAGATACAGCTTTTTCAACAAGACTTTTACTAATGATCAAAAGGGCTCAGCTCATCTGAAAATATTGCTTCGCTAGTGGGGCAAGCAAAGGGCCTACTGGGGAATGCCCAGGGACGCTGGAACGATAATAGGGCAAAGGGGGGCCGGACGCACACCAAGGGCACCTCTACTGAAAAATTTTTTTTCACTGCAAAATTTTTTGGTGACCCCCCCCGTCGCCAAAAAAATTTCGGTCAGTGTACCATTTTAGGGGTCAAAAAATTTTTCCGGACATACCAAAATTTTCCGTGAAGTCAAAAATTTTTCCGGATATCTTAAATTTTCGCCATTTCTTCAAAATATTTTTCTAGATTCCAAAAATTTTCCAAAATTTTTATAAATATAAACTATAAATTACCTGAATCTCACGATTTTCCTACAAAAAGCATCGTTGGAAATGTGATTTATCACGTATTATTTTGCAACTAAAAGGGCACTTCTGCCCCCCCTGCCCCCCCTAGCAAAAGGCAAGGGGGGCAGCCGCCCCCCCCTGCCCCCCAGTTCCGGCGTCCCTGGGAATGCCCCAGTAGTTATATAGTTAAAAAATGCCCTGCATGGCGTACATGAGTCGATGACCACAAGAGGTCCATAGATAGTTGTAAATTATTAATTCATTGTAAGTTATATATAAATTCATTGTGTTTACCGTAAAATATTCTAGCAACTGTCAGGCAAGTATTATAAACTGATACACCTCGTTTGCTACTGATGTCACATACACGAAAACGAGGCTCTGTAGCCAAAGAGACGTACTTTCTGGTAAGGTATATGAGACCTATTAGTGTATAGTATGTACCGAAAAATATATTCCTACAGAAGTATGTATTTCGGCTTGGCTTTTAATACGAAACTGAATGTTGAATGGAAGATTGTCAGTATAATTAATCTGCTTGAAACAGTTGAACAAGCTTTCGTTGTTGGGAATGCAACTACCTGAAAATATATGAATCCGTGAAGAGGGTTTGCAATATGTTTACTCAGTGAGCCATGGGTTTAGTGTGGAACACTATACTCAAGACTAA